TGACTTTTTCTATCCAACTCAATAACTAGAAATAGAATAGAAACACTTTTCTATATGGAATTGAGTTCTGATACCATTCTAAACTATAGGTAGTGGTGTCCTTAACTCTAATAACTAACAACATTCAGTTACGGGCTTTTCAGGAATAAAGTCTTGTCAAAACTATTTGTAACACAGTGGTTATCATTTGCTAGACCACCATTTCTTATCCTTACATGCCTTAAAGTTTTGAATATTTAAATATTCTATACATATAATAAAAAGATATGGTGATAAAAGATCGCCTTGTCGAATACCCCTTAAAGGTTTGAAGCTCTTTAACATCCCTTTATTCAATAGGATTGAGATGAAAGTGAAAGAGATACAACTTATTATAAGGTCAATGAAAGGGTTAGGCAAGTTGAAAAAGATAAGAACCTTTATTATAAAGCTCTATTCCAATCTATCATATGTTTTTTTCAAGTCAAGCTTAATTTCCATCTGCCCTTTTTTGGCTTTACATTGTTTAAAAGAATGTATCATCTCTTGATTGATAATGCAATTATCACAACCATTCCTCCCTAAGACAAAACTAGTTTTGAAAGAGGTTATAATTTTATTTAAAAATGGCCTCAATCTTTGAACGATGATTTTGGTGACCAATTTATAGGCTATGTTACATAGACTAATAGGTATGAATTGATCAATACTAGGAGGATAAGTATTTTAAGGATCAAAGAGATCAGAGTTTGGTTAAGACCTTCTATCACATCAAATTTTCAAAAATGCTCTTGACAGTTGAGCAAAGTTTCTTTTTAACTATGTTCCAACATCTCCGAAAGAAATATAAGCAAAGACCATTGAGCTCCAATGCTTTAAAAGCTTTAAAAGTCCAAAGTGCCTTCTAAATTTCATCTTCAAAAATAGGTTTCTGTAAGTTCTCTTTCTCATTGTCAGATAGTTTAAAACAACATCTAGGACCTGTCCCATGTCTTTATGCTCCAAAAATATAAGACGTCATATGTAGGTTCCTAAAGTAGCTTAGCACTATTTTTTTTCCATATCCCTAGGATCAGAAGTCTAGTCCTACCTTGTTTTCCAACCCAATAATATGGTTATACCTCATTCTTGATATAGTTGAAGTGTGAAAGAACTTTGTGTTACGGTCGCCATTGGTAAGCCAACTAATGTGTAACTTGATGGCCAACTAATGTGTGACTTGATGGCCCATAAGTCCTCCTTAGCTTTATGTGTTCTTTTATAATCTTCCATCAAGGTACATTAAAAATCAAGAAAGAATTGATTTAGAGAAATGGCAATCGCTTTTTCAATCCTCCTTAAACATTTCAAAATTTTTTTTTCTTAATGAACACATTACCAAAAACATTTTTATTCCTGGTTATTCCAGCTTCATCCTGTATTCTTGGACTATGTGGCCTTTTTTGTTCACTTCTAGTGAGCCAGATCCCTTACGTGCTTAAGCCCTTAAGGCATGAGTCTTTGTTTATTGGTATTTGGATTATCTTTTGGTTCATTAGGGTTGCCCTTTGCATGGTTTCTTCTTCTCTATACCACCATTCATGGTATGAAACCCTCTTCCCCAACTTTCACTTTTTGAGCAATCTTTTGCCTTACTTCTAGTAGTTGATCACCACAATTTGTCAACTTTTCATGACCGATATCCCTTTCTTATGGGTAACTGTCCTTACAATGTCCCAATCTACCATAGCTATAATGTAGGGTTCTAATACTTTCATAGACAATGGCTTGTTTTTTGCCCTCCATTCTAATAAATTATGGGAGAGGTTTGTCCAGGTTTAACTGAACATAGATTCTAGCATATTTTCCTTTTTTCTTTACCAAAGTGTGACCATCAACCCGTAAGAGAGTCCCTATATGCCTGCTTATTTTCTTTAGGATCCTTAGATCGAAATATTCAACCGATAACTCAGGCAGCCTAAGCCAAATCACTATTGATAAAAATGAAGCCTATGAAGCCCTAAAATTAGGGTTCTCATCTTCTAATTGTTAAAAAATGGCCACCTATGAACTAAAAGCCTCCTTTAAGGACATAATTATCATCTTTAACTTGTTGGAACTTAAGCAGGAAGTAGTGGTGACCTAAATCAATAATGCATGGCATTTCCTACAACTTCCATAATTGCTCAAGTTTGAATGCTAAGTATTTATACCCAACAATTTTGCCAAACACTTTGACAATCAAAGAGTGAACCCATCTCTCTTACTCTTTTACATTATTCCCTACTTAGTGAGACTCTAAGCTTTTCCACATTGTGATTGTCATCATCTTAGCTTTCATTTTCATTTGATTCCACTTTCATTTCCTTATCCATATTACCTTCCGTATCAATATAGGTACCATAACTACCTCTAAGCAAGGTGTCCATATAGGAAACATTTGCCCCAGTATTGTTCCCATTATGTAGGGTTTTAGCATTTGTCACTTTGACATGATGATTGTTAACTCTTTTTTTATTACAATGGAATTTCGCCACTTTTTTTGGGCAAAACTCAGTGCTCTTTGTATCTTCTGACATGAGAGAAATTTAGTACTCCAGCAAATTTGAATGTTTATAAAGTTGAAAAGATTTTTCCATTGACCTGACTATCTAATCTAATCTAATCTAAGAAAAATAATAGGAAATTACCTTTTTCCTACAAATCTTAAGTCACCTAATTTCCTTTCACAGATCTAAATTGTTTGTCAAAATCACTAAAAAATGTCAACTACTTAAGACTAAACCATGGGGCATCAATGATCCAGAATGAATACAGCATAGAATGTAACTTTTAGTGCAGTTGATTTATGAAAAAAAGATTGTTTTACCTCGTAACTATTTTTAGTCCTTTTACATGATTTTTTTAAAGGCATATGATCTCACCTTTGTTTTTTATGTGATTTTAATACAACAAAATTCATAAAATAATATCTAACTATGATATGAAATTTTTTGTGAAAAATTAATTTAAAAAAGATCAAATTACAAAACTACCCTAAAAGACATTTCGATAATTTAAACCTTTTAGGTGCAATGAGGGTTTTAATGCATAAAAAATCATGAAATAATATCAAAATATGATATGGAGTTTTTCGTGAAAAGCCAACTTTGAAAAGGTCAAATTACGAAAATACTTTTAAGAAGCATTTTGGTAATTTCAACAATTTCGAGATGTGATTGAGGTTTTTAATACATCGAAAATCATGAAATAATATCAAAATATAATCTAAAGTTTTTTAACAACAAACCAACCGTAAAAAAATCAAATTACGAAAATATCTCTAAAAAATATTTTGGTAATTTTACTTTTTTCAAGATGTAATCATAGCTTTCAGCACATCACGATCACAATTTTATAAATCCCAAGATTTAACAGTCCCACTTAATTGTGAGTTTTAAGAATTGATTCGAGTTTGACCAAATTTGATCATTTTTATCAAGTTTGACTTTATTCGAACGCGTTTGATTAATTTTGACCACAAGACATTCAAGTTAATTTGATCTAAAATTTAATTTTTGAAAAATTATCAATCTTAAGGAAATATTAGTTATGAACTGAGCATGACCTTAAAAAGGCCTTACAACTGGCTAAAATTTACCTAGATAAAATTAGGTGTCTACCTTTATTTGAGATGAGAATCATTTTTCGTGTCTTAATATGAGTTTAATTAAAAAAATCATTTAAATTAGAATTTATAAAAAATTTACTAATACTATTTTAATCAATTACTTTTTAACATTTTTGGAATTAAAATTTATTAAGAGTATTTTTGTGAATCACTTTTAATTGATGACAAAAAAAATCACTTTAGGCATTTTTTAGTTTAATTATAAAAAATAATTTAATAATAAAACAACAAATTCATTTAAATTAAATTTTATAAAAATTTTACTAAAGGTATTTTAGTTAATAACTTTTAATACTTTTAGAACTAAAATTTTAAAATTTTAAATAGATTAATTTAACATAAACTCTGTTTTTAATTTCAATTGATTTAAATTAAGCTTGAATAAACTAACAAAAATTATATATATTTAAATATAATTATATTAATTTAAAATTTTATTTGAATAGTTAGGTCTATCACTTTTAATACTTTTGGAGTTTATAATTTTAAATATTAAAAAATAATTATATTTACCTGTATTGAAAGGAATAATATATTCATTATCAATATCATTAATTAGCTTCGATCCCAACGGTTTATGTTAGTTAGAAACATATTATCATATGATTAAAGAGTCTTGTACGATAGATAATGTTATATATATATATATATATGTGTGTATGTGTTGTATATCTCTTAAGATTTAGTGATACAATTTAAGAAAGAATTTAGCTAACTTTTGATTTTTTTTTTTTAGTTTAAATTAAATAAATTTAACTATATAGAAAAATAAATTTATAAAGCACGAACAAATAATTAAAAAAAAGTGTTTAAAGGTAAATTTTTCATCAAACCTTTATTTTAATTGTAGAATACATTTTTATTTTTTAAAATTCCAACAAATTTAATATGAAATAAAAATCAATATCGAAATTATTAAAATAATAAAAAAAAACCTGTTCATATTCAATTACTCCTAAAATATAATAACAAAAAAATAAAGCAATGCTGATCGACATTGATGTTTATATTATTTCAGCATTTTCTTCACTTATAAAAATCGAACCTAAAGTGTGTCTAAAATTTGATATTTTGATTTCAAGTTTTTCAGCTAAATTAAACTTTATGCTGATTTTACCTACTCATTAATTATTTATAACAATGAAAAATGAAACAACAAGAACATCAGAGAAATGTTATTGAATGCATCTCATTAATTGAGCAGGTCAAAATTTAGAAATAAATTATATTTAATCAATATTTCTATTTTATATGAAAAAGTTAACAATAATAAAAAAAATCACTTAAATTAAAAATTAAAAATATTATTAAAGATAATTTACTAATTTATTTTTAATATTTTAGGAATTAAAATTGTATTAAAATATTTTAATTTATCACTTTTAATATTTTTGAAGTTCAAATTTTTACAAAAATGGTGCAATTCCAGTGAATTTTTTAATCTCACATAAACGACCTCACCACAAAGAATTGAATTTTGTGATTGCACTAGTTTTACTCTGTCTTGGAACACATCACTTTCAAGTTTTCGTTTTCTTGAATAAGTCCTTGGATTCTAGCCAATCTGCATGACTGTTCTACTGTTAGTTTGTAAATTGATGGGCTTTCCCATGGTACAAGCCCAAAATCATCATTATAATCTTCCATTCCTTCAACAAAGAATTGCCAGATTAAAGCTCCTGCACCTGACCCTTTCTTCCTTGCAGATTTGTAGATGATGTCCAAAATACTTCTGTAAAACTGCTCTCGCTGGGATGCCTGGAAGTCTTTGTTCTGGTTTGACAAGCCGTATTCAGTGAACATAACAGGTTTCTTCAGTTCCTTGTCACAATCTTCAATGTGTGACCGCACCCACTTGTAAACATAATTTTGTTTTTCTTCAAATCCTAGAACATGAAACCTACCAAAGAGGAAACAAATAAAGATTGAACTTAGATATAGAGAACATGCTTATTGAAAAGGTAACAGAGTGCCTATGAAAAAATGATAGTACTATAATTCAAGAGAAAAACTGAACCCGACACAATTAAAACAAATCTCAATAACATTTTTATCAAATTACGGATATAACAGTCAAATGGTGAGATATAAAATTTCGAGCAAAGTTCATTTCTAAAAGCTAGTGCTGAAACTAGGTTCATAATTGGGCAGAGTTCATAAAACTCAAACTTTGATTAATCCAGTGATTTCTACTTATGGTTGAGGAATTTTTTAAAAACACATAAAAGTTGTGGCCACAAAGGATTATTTTCCTCCAAAGCCTTATTTGCATTTAAACATCACACTTTGTCATTATCCATACTTTGGTACCCTCAAATCTTCAGAATGGCCACTGATGACAGGCTTCATTCTGTGTCATAGAATTGATTTTTACATGCACAATTGATACAATTTCATAAATAGTCAGTCAATATTGCTTACCAATGGTCGGGGTATATATGAACAGAGGTAAAATCAACATTTGAAATGTTGGAGTTGCGGATAAAATCAGATCCAAGGGTTGACGCCCAAACTTCTGGATTCACAGTTGACTTCTTAGGGCTTTTAGGACCGTAGAATCCTTCCAAGCCAACGGTCAATAGATGATTTTTGTCAATTGATTTTATGAAAGCTGTCATCTCTTCTAACCAATCCTACAATTGAATGCCATATAATTAAACTCGCATTCAGATACAAATCAATAAACCTTAGAAGAAAGTACCCCTGATATGAATGCATATGAAATATAGAAACCGTTTCTGATTAATGAATTTAAAGCTTTGAAAGGAAAATTTTCTCCTCCCTCATGTTATTGAAGTAGAAAGTTTTTTATATGTCCTTGCTCTTCTAGTAAAGAAGACAACAATTATATGGTAAAGGGTAAAGAATCTGAGTTAAATTTCAGTTTTAAGAAAGTCCCCAAAGATGAGGTTTGCTTCAAACTTTGACTGCATTCAGCGGAAGAGGGAAACCTTTATTCCAAAGAAAGAAAGCATGAATAGCCAACCCTATCTACAAGAAGCAAGAAACCCACAATCACCACTAATCCTATCACTCAATTATATGAAAATTTTACAAGACAACATTGCATTCATCTAAGTTAAGCATAATTGTTCAAGATTATAAGAGGTTTAGAGCAAAGTTAGAAGCCAATCTAGGGTTAATATTAATGCTTAGAATAACTTTTTTTTTCTTAATAGTGTAAGATCTCATAACTCACTTGTAGAGTATCCCCAGAAGGATCAGACATGCAACGGGGTTCATTTATTAACTCCCAAGCAAATATGGTGGGATCATTCCGATACTCAATTCCAGTGATGGTGTTCTTCCTCGTGAGGACAGTCTGGGAAAAAGAAATAGAGCAGAATAAGACTTCATAGCAGTATGGAAAATAATTTTTAGTTTATGATATTTCAAAAATTTAAAAGGAAATCAAGCAATGTCATCTTCAGAAAAAAAAAAAAAAAACTATATTTTCCGCTCAAATATGTGATCATTCTGTTATGGACTATTTGGCAACCTCATTCCCATACAACCATGTCTCTGCAAAGTTTTGTAAGATGTTTCAGTACATACTACATTGGCAGAAAGACGACCATGGGAAGATTGTGCTCTCCAACATATGTTGGCTAGCACTGGGACAAGGAAACTTTTCTAAAAAACATGCATATAGTCTACCTAACTGTACCATATATACTCCATCCATTATCATCACAAAACATAACCAAGGCTAGTACCTAGATCTTGATTTTAGATTAGTATTTACCCTTTCATAATGATAAGTCAAGAGATTTAGTAGGATGATTTACTAGGATTTCTGACTATCCTGTGATTTTCTCATTATATTTTCCCTCATTGATTTTCAAATCTCAGGTTATTACTGCATCAAGATACACTGAATCATAAATTTGCCAAACCATATAATAAGCTGTATTAGATGGATTCAAGCTCATGACTCTGCATGGACAACGAAAACACTTTCAAAAGGCAACCAATCAGGCTAACATTTCATTTTTTGAAAAATAAAGAATGCAAAAGGGAAATATCATATATCTTCACTTCTATCCTGAAAGAAGAAAGAAAAAGGAAACATAACACTTCATACTGTTTACATAAGAACACGTTGAAAGCAATTTCCTTTCATTTATGCATTGTTTAAGTACTCTTTCACAATCAAATATGCTTACATAAGAACACATTGAAAGCAATTGCCTTTCACTTATGCTTTGTTTGAGTTCTCTTTCACAATCAAATCGTAGTTAGTACCTTTTCCGTTGGTCATTATTAGGTGAAACACTTGCTCCATATTGTTTATAGGGCCCTATGCAGTAATAGTCAGAGTTTTAAGAACTAAATTAAAAAGCAAGTGGCTAAGACATTTCCAGCATCAGCTTCCTCTATAACTATTAAGATTTACCTAATTCAACAGTGTAATGTCAGCACAATTACTACCAGTTTACTGAAGATTATAGGTAGAGTTATACACATGCATTATGATAAGGGGAAGAAAATTCCCATTATTCAAATATAAGAAAAGAGATAACTGAAATCTAGACTAGATAACTAGATAGATGATCAGTTACCAGGACATAATTCTTGAAATATTTGCGGATTGATGGATCAAAGAAGAAGGAATCATTAGAAGAGCTCAAACCAACACCTTCTTGCCATGCCCACTTGACGTACTGTGTCTTCCCACCATATGCTTGCAAATTATTTACTAAGCTAAGAAGTAGCCTAATTCCATGTTGCCTTGCTTCTGCAATAACATAATCCAAGGCCTGCCACAGCCTAAAGTTGTTAAAATAAACAACAATAATCGGGAAAATGTACACTAGACCAATACTAACTGACATCAGAGGATAATCATGTATCGAATAAAATGTAGATTATTTGCATCACATTAAGATTGATAAAAGAAAGTATCAATTTCTTTCTAATACCTTGAAAACTCGCTCATCAAATTGCCCAGGGGAAATCTGGAGAGCATCATAACCCCCATCATTAAAGGCCCAAGTTCTACACACTGTGAGACCCATCTTTGCACCAGCCTGCAGCATTGCACTAACCCTAGGTCTACTATTTTCATCCACAGAATGAGCCATTAACCAGTAAGAATTCCATCCATTAACGTACAATGGTTTACCATCCAAAAAGAACTGAGTCCCATTCCTTTCCACAAAACTTAACCTTGGTTCCCTAGGGAAACTACTAAGCTTTAAGTCACCCAAAGACATATAAATAAAAGCCACACATGATGCAAATCCAAGAATTGGGTATAACATCCTATTTCCATTCACCATCTTTCTATATATAGTAAGGAACCTGAAAACCAATCAACAGGAAAAAATTTCCAGAAAGAAAGATAGCTTATTTGGGTACCGTTTGGCTCTATTTTAATCAAAATTTGAGGATACCCAAGTGGAGATTACAGTACCTTAAACTCAAATGTGAACGCAGACCCCTCTTCCTAAAGTTAACCAAACACAAAGAAAAAAATTACTCCTTTTAAGGCATAACAAATTCGGTGCAAGAAAGACAGATAGACTTGAAAGTTCCCGTCTTTCTACTTAGGATTTGGGATTTTTATACCAGAAATGATTCAAGAAACAAGGAACATGAAAAAAAAAAAAAAAAACTGAAAAAGGAAGGCAAAGCAAGCACACCCAACTCGACTGTCAGAAACAAGGAGGAAAAATATGGGAGGTTGTAATTGTGAGGACAGGAAAGGGTCAATTGGATGTTGGTAATGTGGTATCAGCGTGCTGGTTAAAATCAGATCTATGCAGTGCACCTGATTTCCCTACAGTTTCCCTGAATTTTAATATACCTACTGTAACAAGAACAAGTCTCTCTGTTTAACACCCATGTGACCTTCTTGATTCCCTCCCCAGTTAAAACTATACCAAATTTACTAGGAAATACTATGAAAATTAAAAATTAAATAAAAAAAATTCCCAACCTTTGACGTGCTCTGCGGGACTTGGATTCTGTACTGACGAGTGTTGTCTCAGGGCCTCCGTAACCGTAAGCATTTTTTCTTGTTCTTTTTGTTTTAAATAAACATAAAATAATTCTATAGGCTTCTATTTGGTACCGATTCGAAAAATGTGACTAGGCACCTGTTAATTATAACAGACATAAGGTTTCCCCATGTGAAAGTCGGACAAAATGGGATCAATATACAGATGTCTTTGTCATTTCCCGTAGGGGCAAAATTTTCCATTTATAGTTGCTTAAGCATTGACTAGGCTCTTCTCAATTTATTAAAATCAGTATAAATAATTTTATTTAAATTAATTAAAAAATATATCTTATATAAATATATAAAATTTAAAGTTTTTGATAAAAAAATTGAATAGACTATATAATTAACATATAAACAGTTACAAAAATATAATCATGTGTTTTGTATTTTTTTTATTTAATTTGATTTAAATTAAAAAAAATATTTCGAATAATTAATTACATTTTTTTTTATAAAATTTTTATTTAATTACTTACTGTGATCTTTTATGATGTTTTACGATTAAAATTTTAATTTAAATTATATTAAATCTTATATAAATATATAAAATCTAAAGTTTTTGGCAGAAAAAAATTTGTTCAACCTAGATAGCCATATAAGTGATACATAGACAATTATAAAAAATAGTTATATGTCTTGCATTTGATTTTTTTATTTAATTTAATTTAAATTAAAAAAATATTTCAAATAATTAATTATATTTCTTTATTTAAAAATTTTTAATTTAATTACTTACCTTTTTACAATTCTGTGACCTTTTATAGTTTTCTATGATTAAGATTTAACTTAAATTATATTAAATAACAATATTTTCTTTTCATATTTGTTAAAAGGCTTTAATTATAACTTAGTTATACTTATAAAAATATATAAATTGAAGCTCTTAGTAAAAAAAAAAAATTGTCCAACATAGATAACTTATATAATTGACATGTTACATGATTTAAAAAAATAGTCATGTGTATATAATTTTTTTACTTAATTTGATTTAATTAAAAATATTTTAAAATAATTAATTATATTTCTTTCCCTTTAATTTATTAATTTAATAACTTATCTTTTACATTTATGTGACCTTTTATAATTTTCTATAGGGGGTATAATAGTGTAGATCGGATCAGCTATTGGTTCAATTTTTTTTTTATAAATGCATAATATTAAAAATTTTAAAAATTCGATCTGAATTTGAATCAACCTTTTCTTAAAACAAATTCGAACTAAATTTTATTCGTTCGATTCAATTCATCAATTTTTAAATTTAATTTTTTTATTTTTTATATATTATTTTAATAGGAATTTTAATATATTTAAATAGATTTATTTATAAAATAATTTTTTTATTTTATATAAATTTTAAAATTATAAAAACTAATAAAAATATATAATTCGGTTTGGTTCGATATTTTTTTATTTTTCACATCCCGATTTTTAAATTTGATCCAAATCATTATATATACATTTAACATTCAAACTTTATCTAAATCAAATAAGAAAAAAAACTTATCAATTGAACTAAACACTATGGTATTGAATCGATTTTGGTTTTCTCTTTTTTTTTTCTTCACCCTAGTCTTCTACAATCAAGATTTTAACTTAAATTTATTAATATACAATATTTTCTTTTCATATTTGCCAAAGACTATTATAATAAAATTTA